GGAAAAATGCAATTAAAATATTCTTATGAAGGTGTAATTCTTCCTGTATTATACAGAAAGAAACCTGTATAGCAGTGCTTGACAGTGAATCTGATGTACTTCAGTACATGATATCCATGCATATTTAAGTTCTGTCCTGCCCATTTTCATTATATACATGTAAAAATTATAGTTATTTTCATTCATGTTAGCATGATATTTTACTGAAACATGCCAGATAGCCAAGGATATTTCACCAAGATACTACATAAAGTTAAAGAAAAGATTTATTGAAGACACAAGAAGTCTGTTTCAGAAGGAAAATACTCAAGTAGTGTGGATTTAATCTAAAATGTAAAACGTTCTGCCTTGGCCAATCTTATTTGTAACCTCCTGAAAGAGAAAGTTTTCAAATACTGTGACTAAGAGAAAATACTGTCAGACCTAATTCAGAGAAAACTGAGACATACTTCAGCTGCTCCTGCCTAATTGCTACTTCAAGGGAATAGTGCACAGTAAACAAATGTTTTGGAATTTGAATCTCTTATCTCTTAACAGAACAAGCCATTGAGAGCAGCTCTTTAAACCTATTCTATTTTTGCAGCATGTTGCACATGAAGTTTATCTTGGGTTTAATGTAAATTTTTGGTTTTATAAATGTAAATACAGCAATAAAAAGGAAGAATTGATCTATTTAAGCAGATTACAGTAATTGCAACAGCACAGGTTGATCTTTTTAATGCTAAGTGACAGGACTCCCACATACGGGCTACAAACCAGATATCTTTCCATTCAAAGCTTTATAAAAGCCACCTTCAACAATATAATAATGCAGGACTTAATTTCTGCAGTAGTCAATTTATTAACACACAAAATGGTGAAGAGTAATGAGTTCTGGACAAAGAGAAATGCTAATACTAGAAACACTTAAGTCTGATGCAGCATGGACTTCCCCCAAATTTTCCTTTAGTTCTGCTGGACGTCTTGTTAACATAAGGCTCTTCCTATTTCAAATGTCCTTTGTTCATTTGTCTGCAAGAAGTCAGGTACACCATAAATTCAGAGTAGTCTGTTTTCCCCTTCCCTTTCATGATCAATTTTTAGTACCATAGTTAACATAAATGTGAAGAATAGGACTGATGGCTTAAGAATTCTCCAATGCTTCCTTAACGGCAAAGCTTTCCTAACATGTTAAAAGGTTGATTGCAGTTTGAAGTTTGGGGGTCCCTCTTAGGGATGGCTGGTTCACAGTTGGGAGATTCTATGAGAGGAGACCAAATGTCATGTAAATGTTCTGGAACAGAGCGAATAAGTTGGCTGAGACAGCTTCTGCTGTTGATCAATGTCTGCATTGTTAACAGATGTCTGTGTATTGCATCAATAAGTAATAAAGTGGTTGTTCATAATAACTGCCAGGAGGCAATGGTTTTGTGGGTTTAGTGTGTGGCTTATCAAGAAAAATCCATATACATATCAGATGGGCAAAGAAAATGCTAAGACTCTGTTTTAATTTTTAGTTTTAGGACAGTGAATTACTGAAAGGGAATGTGTTTCCTCTTCAAGTGGGACTGTTTATCCACGGATCTCTTCACAGCAGACAATTGGAAGAATCCTCATTTCTTCTTCCAAACCTATGAATAGGCTGTCACTCATTTGTGCCTGCAATTATTCATAGACGCCCTTGTACTAATCACTTCTGGGAAACAACCATGTTCACTGATCTAGCAGTGGTAAAGCAGTACTGATGGGCAGATTGTCTGGTTTTCCATATAAGCCATTTCAGATGACTGGAAAAATGCTAAAAACTCTTAGCAAATCCAGTTTCCTATCAGTTGTTTTGTGGATGTCGTTGGCTTCTGCTATAGAAAGCTTTCCTTACAGTGTCTAGAAAGCTGTCAGATTCCGATCATCAGAGCAGTTTTCTACTAGAGTTGGTCAATCCATCATTTGTTGTCCCTACCTAATTGATACCTCAAGTTGGATTTGTTTGCTGTCATTGCTGAAAGATTCTTAAGGTTCCTTTTCCTGGTAAAGAGGTCGTTCTTTCATGAGACTTTATCCTTGCATTGGCAGGGTTTGATACACACTTATTCAGAAAACACCGTATATAAGGTGATGCCTGAATTTTTTTTCATGTCTCCGGTCCCTATATCTTCAAATCTCTTATTAGGTCATTCTCATCTGGCAAAACTGGTCAAGATACCCCTAAATATCCATTGAGTTCTTTGGCATGTTTGGATAGGATTTGAATATTATGATTTCCTAGGCATCAGTACGAAGACAGTGCCATTTCTACTTTTTATGTGTTTAGTTCATTTAGGTTTGTTATCAAATGAAACAATAAATTGGTGACAGTTCTTTGGATTTCTATAGTTCGTCCTTCTCTGGGAAAACACAGCATCATTGTCACTTGTTTTTATCTTAAACTTCTGTATGGCTTGTAGCTGGAGTTAATGGTTTGTTTAACTTGGTATTTAAATCCAGTGCTATTTTGGGAAAAGTGTTACTACAGTGTACACTTAAATAGTGTGGATAATGTGGGAGGAGTAAGAAATCCCTACTTTTAGTTTCTTAATGGATGCTAAACTCATACAACTTGAAGAGTATGCAGAGGGCATTTGAAGAAGTAAAACCGTCATCATTCTTTCCCATCTGTAGTCTGCATAGAATATTGAATTTATTGTCCAGAAATAAGCCAGCTACCCAAGTCAGTTGGACAATATTAGATGTTTTGATTCCTGGGTGCTTCCCAGAGCTTTCTTGAAGATCAGTAGCTCGCTCATTTCAAATTCAAGTACAGAGACATGAAGTGTTTGTACTGTCTCCTTGCAAGCCTGTGTTAAATAAAAATCTGTTAGAAGCACATTCCCAATAGCTCAAAATACCTTTAAAGTAATTATAGTCTTAGGTGTGCGTGGAAGTAGTTTATATTAATATAAAGATTTTTCCATTTCATGGTATGTCATGTATGCATTTCAAGAGTGCTGTCTTTCATATTTAGCACTCAGTTACTACTTGGTTTCAGGTGTGTGCTTATGATTAATATTACCTTTCCTTTATAACCTTTCAGGAGTATGATGATGGTTATGGCACTTCTTATGATGGACAAAGCTATGATTCCTATGATAACAGCTATAGCACTCAAGCACAAAGGTAAGTCTCCAGATCTGCTGTAACTACATTTGAAGTATTCTACAGTTGGAAAGTTAGCTTTACTTAAAGATGTCTTTCAATTTCATCTTAAACAGCAAAAATGTTGTAAGAGGCTTATTAGAAATAACCCCCAGTGTTATTTGTGTCTAGTATCACGTAAGGATAAGAGTCAAGTTACTGAATGGTTGAAAAGAAGCAGAAATGAGAACTTAAAGAGTTTTGGTGATGTCAAATAACATATCAGAAAGCTTTCAAAAGTTCAGGAAACTTAGGAAAATTTAATTCAGATTCATTTTGGGAGGGAGCAGGAGCAGGGAGAGGAGAAAAAACTTTATAAAGAGAATTAAATAATCTGAGACACAGAGCTGATTTCATTTTCTTACTTAAATGTGGTTATATTCCAGTGTTTTACCTTTATTTGACTGTAAAAAAAAAAAAGTAGTACAACCTTTAGTTTGTTCTACTCTTTCGTAGAATTGTCTTTGAAAAATATGAATCTCTTGCCATTTTTGTTCCTTCCCCTACTTCATTCTCAAGAATATTTTTAAGCACTTCTGATTTATTTTCTTAAAATTTTGCTTTCTTCAAAGGAAGTCTCTATTTGAAAAGTCCACAAATTACAGGGAATACTGACGTACCCCAATGATGGGAGCAATTCTGTGAAGTAGAAACTACTCGTATTAGATGGTAGTTTTAACTTAATGGCAAATGTCATGTGACACATGATTTAGCAGCTCGTCCATTAGGTGCTTCAAATGTGCATGTCTGGAAAGGGACCTTCTGTGCACTTTTACCAAGCTGTAATTTATTCTTACTCTTTTTCTCTTAGACCAATCATTCATAGTTTGTCAGTAGTAGATTTTTGTAATGTCACTGAGAATTTCTTGAAACTCTTATGGCAATAAACATCAAATGGTTGAAACAAGAATGTTGAGAAAACGGTAAAATAGAAAAAAGCTTTAGTTCTGCATTACTGCTTTGGTTACTTGGGGTGATTAGAGCTTCAAACCTTGGCTCTGGGAAGAAGAAAGCAGTAGGAAAGGGATATACTGGTGATAAATAGATAGATACGGATTAGGCTGGTTTACCTTCTGCTAAATATTTAAGACTTTTTACAATGTAGCCTTATCTGAAATAGTGCAGAACTGTTCACAGCAAAGTTGAGAACAAAGCTATTTACACCTGACATCTGCTTTGCTGTAGTGTTGACATGCCGAACTTAAATTTTGGTGTGTAAATGAGTATTTTCCTATGCCCAATAACTTAGTCAATGTGAAAAAGCTTAGTGGAAAGTTCAAGTGTTGTCATTGAGAACTAACACAAAATGCCTTTGTGTCTGATACTTGGTTCCTACAGAGTCTTGTAAGCTACTGAAAATTGATAAAAATAATATAACTTAAGGAACCCGCAGTGTAGGACCTTCAAAATATGAGGCTCTGTAGGATGTTGCATTTAGAGAGCAGCTGCTGGTAATGGATTTTTTTCCAAAAAGAAAATTACCAAAATAGCCCTGAACTTTTATGTTGGTAATTCTGTTCTGTTTTACTGCTTCTAGTGTTGGTAAATGGGTTTATTGCACACAAACATTTGGACTTCATTACAAAGTCATTTGCCTGAGCCAAAACTAAACATTACTTGGATTTGATTTTCTTTCCCATGTTAAGAACATTTTCACTAAGATTTTTTCCTTTGAACTAAAAGTAGCAAAAAAAAAATTCCCAAGGAATTAAATTTGTCTTGTAAAGGTCTAATACATGAGACCATATATATGGTTGCTGTTCTTTGTATTTTACCTATAGTTTCACAATATATATACTGTTAGATTTTAATTCATTATCTTCTGAATGATTGCTTCATTTTTTTTCCCCTAATTTTAAGTGCTGCATGGTGAAAGAAATAAATGATTCACTCGTATGTTTCTCACGGGGTATTGACACTCATTTTCTGGCTTGGCAAAAAGATTTTTAGGATTGTATTGGCAGTCAAAAACTAATAACTGTAAACAGCCATCTGAGCTACCTAGAACAGCATTCCTATCTTTAATCTGAATATCAAATAGTAGCCCATATTGCAAAATGTCATTTTGTAACCGTAAGAGATACTTATCATATTTGGGTGCATTACAATGTCCTTACTCTGAAGGAAATTAGGGAAAAGTGTATTGTTTTCGTAGTTCAGCCTTATATCATTCTTGGTATTTTCCCCTCGTAAAGCATGGAAAGAAAACACATTTGTGCACAGAGGGCATTCGCATGTTTAAAATGCATCATTTAGTGACTAGCGTGTGTAAATAACTCTTCCTCTTTCCTTTTGTAAATTGAAAGCAGTAATCCTAAAAAGTAATACTATTTCTAGTATGTCTTCTGATACTAATTCCTCTAGAAGATTGTGTTATTAATGATATCATGAATTAAAGAGGGAATCTGAGAAATAGCTAGTAAACTGAAAAGATGGGTTTGCTCATTAAACTATTTGCCGTAGCTTTTCAGTGTATGAACACTCTTCCTGCACTTCATCACACTTGGTTAATGTTCGTAAGGGTACTTTTCCTGTACAACGTACACACGTGATACTGTGGAGACAGTCGAAATACTCATTTGGTTTTTAAAGTTTTTGCTTATTTTGGTGATTCCTATCTTAAAGAGGGAAATTGTCCACATTTGACCATTCCATACAACACAGCATGACTCTCCTTTAATGTTTTTAGTCTTGGCGTTTCTAGTGTATTTCCCAGAAATCTGAGATGGACTAGGATGGGTGATACGTTCAGATCTGAAGAGTAGCATACTGCATATTTCTGTGTGCGTTAAGGTAGTTGAGACTTTGCTCACCTCTGCAAAGAATCCTTCCTTTCTGTAGCCTAACTCCTTGCTGCTACCAAATCATGTGTGGTTAAAAGTTTGATGGCATTTTATCAGACATTGTGTGGGACCCTATCCTTGCTTGTGCTTGGCAATACAAAGTTTTAACTAAAACCTGTCACAGCACTAATAGGGGCAGAAACATCAGTTTTGTCCAAGTTCTCTTCTATCCTAATGCCCTGTATTCTTACAAAGAATAGTTTTTCTTTAAAATTATTTCTTTTTTGTTTGTGCAACAAAGCCCTAAATAGTGTGTCAGGATGTCTTTTAACAGAATTAATATTTATGGTCAAAAAGACTTAAAAAATATCCCTTGGAGCTGTACTGAGCTTGACTAGATATCTTAACTGATTTTTAGAAGAGATGTGACTGAATTATACATATAGGTTTTTTGCAGAGGATTGTTAGATTATATTTTTACCAGTATAAACTGGGTTGTTAATCAACTGGGCTGTTCAGTATTGTTGTAAAAAGCCAAAGCAATCTAAAATGAATTTATCAAAATATTTCTCAATTTCTGAAAATCAAAGGCTAGCAAATACTTAAAGCAGCCGAGACAGTTTTCCTTTAATAGAGCATAATGAATACTGCCAAAAGCTGTGGTAATTCATGGTCGATGCTCAATGCCTAGCTAAGGAGAGCAGCAAGACTAGGCTGAATGTTAGTGGCATGCAGGGCAGACTTCACATTATGCAGTCAGTAATTCCTTCATAAAATTTCTTCTGTATAGATCTATGTAGTAATTTAACATGTGCAGTTTTATGCCAAAAACCTTTTTGGGATTTTTATGGTAGAACTTGAGTTACAAGTGTAGAACGCCTTGTTCATGTGACTGCTGGTGCTGATATTTTCTTATGCCAGATGCACGTAGATTTGTCAGCTCTTTTCAGTTGTGCATGTGTATGCTTGCTTACACAACCTAGCTGACTCTTAAAGGACTTCCCCAAATCTGTTCAGAACTCTATTTCTTTATTTGGATTTACTGCAGAAAGTAGTGGGTGCCTTAATGGCCTGATGTTAATGCTAGACCAATTTTATTACGAAAACTGAGAGAAGAATGGAGGAACTAGAGGAAGCAAGAGCTTTTAGTTGGGTCTTCATTTAAATTTGTAGGTCAGTTTAAATATTTTCAGCATGAATAAAAATTCTGTTCATTTTAAATCTCTGAAATATGTTTCAAATTGAGCAAAAGTGCTTTTGTCCCTTAGTGGCTTCATACATGATCCGCACAAGTGTTTGCGAAGACAATAATAGGGCAAAGGGAAACGGATGCTAATAAATCAATTGGCACTGTCAGCTCACTGCTTAATGTTCTCTAGAATACATAAGATTTATCACTGAGGAATTGTAGAATAATGGTAGTGTATGGAAACAAAGTCCACCAGGGAGATGTACTACATCATTTGGATTTAGCGCTGCCATCTGCTTAATAGCATTGAGATGACTACAGAGGTACTTATGATCAACCATTCATAGCAGTGACAGATGCTGCGGAGACTTAACATGCCAGAGAATGAGTTTTGTTACTAAAATTCAGATTATGTGACAAGGTTGCTGAGAAAGGGGGCTGGGTTTGTTACCTCTCCAACAGTATTGAAGGTTTACTGTGTGCTTTTAAGTTTACTATCAAGAGAGAATGGCTAACACAGTTACTGTAGTACAAAAAAAAAATGTGGAGAACCCCATCTGTCTGCTTCACGGCCCTCAGAAGTTTCAAATAACTTCTTTAGGCTTGTCTGCTAGTATTTAAACTGGATGCTTCTTTTCCTGACAAAAAAACAAGCCACCTGCTTTTATCTAGCTTTATTGCTTTTTACCCACAACAGAGATGAGTAGTCTCAACTACAAAAGGAACAGTTTTTATAACTATATGCCTCTGTTCAGGGGCAAAAATAATCAGTCATTCATGTAGTAATGTAGTAATTTTGTGTTTAATTAGAATGTATAGTCTAAAAGCTGGCTTAGGTCTTCCGTCTTGGTGCTCCCACCTTCACTCCGTTGCAGGAGAAATGAATCTAAAAAATTATATAAAAGGGGAAATATTAGGAGTTAAGGTAATTGCTTGCACTGTGTATAGTTTTCTGCACCATTTTCTGGCTTATGCACTTATTAATGCTCTAGATTTCTCTTGACAACAAC